TTTTATGTATTTTAAATGATCCAGAGTACCATAATCCAAACCCCACATGACTGTTGGGAAAGTTGAATTACACAGGTGTCCATTCAGAACTGAAAATATCCCAGATCCTTATTAGTATAGGAGTTCAAAAGAAAATCATGTTATAGAAACACGTGAAGATGTCAGTAATTGGCAGCAGGAAACGACAAACACCGCGCTAGCAGGAAGGAACCAAAATGAGACTCATCGATCGGTCACTTCCACTTCTCACTGAACTGAAGGATTAAGATCAGCACTGTTTGAAAGAGAACGCCAGGAAAACTGCTACACAAATGCCTTAAACACACACATTGGAAGTGCTCTTCCTGCCAAAACGTATGCATTTCTGTTCGGTCAGTGTTGTGATCCAGGTACCCATGCCAGAATGGTGACGCCACAACTCACTACAGCCACCTCCCATCTCACATGACTGCTCATTGGACGTGCTCTGTGTATACTCGCCCTCCACGAATGGTCTGTGACGTCGTAGCCCCTCCCCAATCGGCTATTGATTTTAACGATGAGATTTTAAATTGTATTGAATGTGAGAGCATTTGGGCACCTAATAAAGTAAACTCACCTTAAAAGGATAAGGCACTATCTTTGCATTTCTCTCCCACTGAGGAACACCTGAGGAAAACAAGAGAGTAGCAGCAGGAGAGAGAGATCCCTGCGGGGATAGGAGTACGGGGAGCTGAGAGATACCCACCACCCTTCATATGATGCAACACAAGTTTCAAAAGTTCCATAAGTGAACAAAAAGAGCAGTAAGCCTATCACAGGCAAATAAGGAGGTGAGCGCACGACTTAATCACACTAAAGGAATCACCGGAAATTGATATTTTTTTTTTAATCACATCACTGGGGGTTATCATCTTATTTCGACAGACTTCTTTGCATTATTCAATATTTATTTTTATAGTAGTCACTATATATTTATTTGATCACATTGTTTTTTGTTTTTGATCACATTGTTTTTTGATCACATTGTTTTTTGATCACATTTTATTTTTTTTTTTTGATCACATCGTTTTTTGTTCACATAGTTTTTTTGATCACATCGTTTTTTGATCACATCGTTTTTGGATTTGATCGTTAAGATGTTTTTTTGGGAATATTATTAAGATTATGTTTTAGGGATTTATTGAGCTGATTTATATATATTTTTGATATTTTCACTCAGATTGGGAGCGCGACATATATTAATCTTTTTTTGGTACTTATATACACATGAATAGAGGATTATTATTATTATACAGTATTTATAAAGCGCCAATAGTTCGCTCAGCGCTGTACATTACAAAGGGGGACAGAACATGTGACAGAACAATACCAATACAATGCAAAACATGAGGGGATTGAGGGCCCTGCTCCTTGGAGCTTACAATCTAGGAGGGAGGGGATGGTGGCACAGGAGGAGATAGCTGTGGGGGATGGAGTGGTAGGAAGAGTGGAGGAGGTCGGCAGGTTAGCAGGGGGTGGGGTAGGCTTCCCTGAAGAGATGGGTTTTCAGGGTGCGCCTAAAGGAGAGGAGAGTAGGTGATAATCTGATGGGTTTGGGCAGGGAGTTCCAGAGGATGGGTGACACCCTGGAGAAGTCCTGGAGGCGGGCATGGGAGGAGGAGACCAGGGAACTAGAGAGAAGGAGGTCTTGTGAGGAGTGGAGTGTGCGTGCTGGGCGGTACTTGGATATTAGGTCAGTGATGTAGTTCGGGGCAGTATGGTGGACAGCTTTGTATGTCAGTGTTAGGATGTTTAATTTGATCCGTTGCGCAATCGGAAGCCAGTGGAGGGATTGGCAGAGGGGGGTGGCGGAAACAGAGCGGTTGGAAAGGTGAATGAGTCTGGCAGCCGTATTCAGGATGGACTGAAGCGGGGATAGCCAGCGGCGAGGCAAGCCAGTGAGGAGGGAGTTGCAGTAGTCCAGTCGTGATATGATGAGGGAGTGGATGAGCTGTTTAGTGGTTTCTGGGGTTAGGAACGTGCGGATTTTGGCGATGTTGCGGAGGTGGAGTCTGCACGAGTTTGTTAAAGATTGGACTTGGGGCTGGAAGGATAGGATGTGTTTGATGTCAGCGCACCTGTATTGATTTTTAATTAGTGGCTCACAAGTAACAGTCAATACTGTTGTGGGTTTAGTAACGCTTCAGCTGATTTTAACTTTTTTTTAACCCATTTTCTTTACATCTGCATGGAGTGTGGCCTTAATGATTTTATTGGAAGTGAAGATTTTATTAGATGCAGAATACTGCTTTAAGATAGAATTGACGCTAAAGACATCGAGGAGTATTCATTTAGTGTGTGCGTCTTATCTGAAGATCACGCAGCGAGGGTGACGTGAGATAAGCTGGCTTACTGCCAGGAGTAATGATATCAGATGCTGTAGACCTCGTTCATCAAAGTGGCTGAAACAAGAAACACATCCGGAGTGCCTCATGGCCATGGAAGCTATTCCGTCTTACTGAGATAGAGAAGTAAAAGAATAAAGTCCTCCATAGATATTACAGGACAACTGGACATGCAACCAGAACCCGGCCACCCTGGCGGTGTTCTCGGCAGCCACACAAAGGGTGCGGGGAAGGGGGCGTGCTGACAACACCCGGGGAAGATCGTTCTGTCCTGCATGACTGACATTCCCACTTGTGCTGGTCATGTGACCAATAACCATTCCCTCCTGATGTGCTGGTCATGTGACCAATAACCATTCCCTCCTGATGTGCTGGTCATGTGACCAATAACCATTCCCTCCTGATGTGCTGGTCATGTGACCAATAACCATTCCCTCCTGATGTGCTGGTCATGTGACCAATAACCATTCCCTCCTGATGTGCTGGTCATGTGACCAATAACCATTCCCTCCTGATGTGCTGGTCATGTGACCAATAACCATTCCCTCCTGATGTGCTGGTCATGTGACCAATAACCAGCGCCTTTGGTCACATGATCTCTTGATTAAGGCGAGGATAAGCCAGTTTTCAACAGACATCACAGGACTAAACACCGAAACTAAGAATACGGAAATCATGGAACCATTTTTTTTCCCCCCATTTCCCATCACAGATGACCGGTCACCCCATTTGCTACAGCCTCTGCTTCCTTAGTACATCAACCTACACAGAAGAAATGGTCACCCCGAAGTTTACGCAGAAAGCTCTTTCACCCTCCACAATTAACCTTTGCCGCTCTCAGACGCACATCTACATTGAGTCCACCCCAACCAATCCACTTTTCAATATTGGATGGATTCTGCTGTCCGTACAACCTCATTCACGCTGGCAATGACATACACTGTATTGCCAAAAGTATTGGGCCGCCTGCCTTTCCACTCACATGACCTTTAATGGCCTCCCAGTCTCAGTCCGTAGGGTTCAATATTGAGTTGGCCCCGCCCCTTGCAGCTATAACAGCTTCAACTCTTCTGGGAAGGCCGTCCACAAGGTTTAGGAGGGTGTCTATGGGAAGGTTGGACCATTCTTCCAGAAGCACATTTGTGAGGTCAGGCACTGATGTCGGGGGAGGAGGCCTGGCTCACAGTCTCCGCTCTAATTCATCCCAAAGGGGTTCTATCAGGTTGAGGTCAGGACTCTGTACAGGCCAGTCAAGTTCCTCCACCCCAAACTGGCTCCTCCATGTCTTTATGGACCTTGCCTTGTGCACTGGTGCGCAGTCATGTTGGAACAGGAAGGGGCCATCCCCAAACTCTTCCCACAAAGTTGGGAGCATGAAATTGTCCAAAATGTCTTGGTATGCTGATGGCTTAAGAGTTCCTTTCACTGGAACTAGGGGGCCAAGCCCAACCCCTGAAAAACAACCCCACACCATCCCCCCTCCACCAAACTTTACACTTGGCACAATGTAGTGAGGCAAATAATGTTCTCCTGACAACCGCCAAACCCAGACACGTCCACCGGACTGCCAGATAGAGAAGCATGATTGGTCACTCCAGAGAACACGTCTCCACTGCGAGTCCAGTGGCGGCGTGCTTTACACCACTGCATCTGACACTTTGTATTGCACTTGATGTAAGGCTTGGATGCAGCTGCTCGGCCATGGAAACCCATTCCATGGAAGCTCTCTACACACTGTTGTTGTGCTAATCTGAAGGCCACACCAAGTTTGTAGGTCTTTAGCTGTTGACTCTGCAGACAGTTGGCGACTTCTGCGCACTGTGCGCTTCAGCATGCGCTGACCCCGCTCTGTCATGTGACGTGGCCTACCACTTGGTGGCTGAGTCGCTGTTGTTCCCAGTTGCTTCCACTTTGTTATAGTCCCACTAACCGTTGAATGTGAAAAACAACCCCAAAGATATAAAATGTATATAATTTACATAAATGGTATAATTCACACTCTACATTTAGGTGTATTTCAGTTAGAGAAAATAAAAATCAGAACATCCGGGGCAGATGAGGCACTCTTACGCCATGTTCACACTTTCGGGCTAAAGTAAGAATTCTGACAGCAACAATAGAGGATCCCTGTGGCAAACATGACGGGTGTTTGTGGTCAGCTGTAGCTGCTCAGCTTATACAAAGAAATGACAGGCTGACAACATCCGCAGCTGATTGCACATCCAGAGATTAGCTACATCCAGGTCCAATCACCCGTCCCTGAATGCAGCACAGTGGCTATCACGTCTGCCTAGCAGCACTAAGGTCATCAATTCGAATCCCGACCACGGAACCACCTGCCTGGAGTTTGCATGTTCTCCCTGTGCCTCCACCCAAGGCAGGATGGATCCACTACACCAGCCTGAACCACTGATACAAGGCAGGATGGATCCACTACACCACCACCAGCCTGAACCACTGATACAAGGCAGGATGGATCCACTACACCACCACCACCACCCTGAACCATTGATACAAGGCAGGGTGGATCCACTACACCACCACCATCCTGAACCATTGATACAAGGCAGGATGGATCCACTACACCACCACCATCATGAACCATTGATACAAGGCAGGATGGATCCACTACACCACCACCATCCTGAACCATTGATACAAGGCAGGGTGGATCCACTACACCACCACCATCCTGAACCATGGATACAAGGCAGGGTGGATCCACTACACACCACCACCATCCTGAACCATTGATACAAGGCAGGATGGATCCACTACACCACCACCAGCCTGAACCACTGATACAAGGCAGGATGGATCCACTACACCACCACCACCACCCTGAACCATTGATACAAGGCAGGGTGGATCCACTACACCACCACCATCCTGAACCATTGATACAAGGCAGGATGGATCCACTACACCACCACCATCATGAACCATTGATACAAGGCAGGATGGATCCACTACACCACCACCATCCTGAACCATTGATACAAGGCAGGGTGGATCCACTACACCACCACCATCCTGAACCATGGATACAAGGCAGGGTGGATCCACTACACCACCACCATCCTGAACCATTGATACAAGGCAGGATGGATCACACTACACCACCACCATCCTGAACCATTGATACAAGGCAGGATGGATCCACTACACCACCACCAACCTGAGCCATTGATACAAGGCAGGATGGATCCATTCTTTCATGTTGTTTACGCCAAATTCTGACCCTACCATCTGAATGTCGCAGCAACCAGTCTGCCCGTTCTCCTCTGACATCAACAAGGCATTTTCCTCCACACAACTGCCGCTCACTGGATATTTTCTCTTTTTCGGACCATTCTCTGTAAACCCTAGAGATTACCAAGAAAACAAAATAATATAATCTTGTGAGCTTCTATGGATAACAACAACCCTTCTCCTGAAAACACCTCAGTGTAGATGAAAAGTAGAACCTAAATAATTTGTTTTTCCAAAAATAAGAAGAAAATATCCGCTCGTGTACATAACTCTTATCTCATGTCAGGCATAACTAATAAACACGGTGACCAGCGCAGCACTACAACATATAGTGAAATCACTAAAATGTGTAAATAAATCCATTCATCGCTAAAATGCTTCCATCCTCCTGTAACCACCAAGTGCTCCAAAGCATGGAAGTGCAATTATCCCACCCGCAGAAGTCTGCTCACCTCCCGCAGTAGGAGCTCTCATAGTACCATGTTTGGTCTAATTGCGCTTTTGGTCCCAAGACGGACGCTGAAGATCAACGATGGATTCCAGCTATGATTCACAACTTGTCCGGAATATAACTCCACCAACACATCACCTCAAAAACAAAAGACTCCGCATAGAACAACTTGAAAATATTTTAATATCTGAAAAATAAATGTAAAGGGTGCCCAGCCGCGCCAAGTACAATCAGCCTCTGATTATATCAATTACTCCGCGGTCTGTGGAACTGTGCCATGGGGGGGTCGGCTATGATGGGGCTCATGCAGTGGCTAAACCAAAGTTACCATATATCAATCAGTGAACACTACTAATGCCACTACCATCGCCGGCTCCGTAGAGCGTTGTGACGTCATCCAAAGCCCCACCCCAATGTGTTTTGTCACTCGTCACAAGACCTTCTCAAGAAGAACGTAATGGGATTGATCAATACTTCGCAGTCTGTGGAACTGTGATGTGGGGGGGGTCAGCTATGATGGGGCTCATGCAGTGGATAAACCAAAGTTACCGTGTATCAATCAGTGAACACTACTAATGCCACTACCATCGCTGGCTCCGTAGAGCGTTGTGACGTCATCCAAAGCCCCACCCCAACGCGTTTTCACCACTCGTCACAAGACCTTCTCAAGAAGAACGTAATGGGATTGATCAATACTTCGCAGTCTGTGGAACTGTGATGTGGGGGGGTCAGCTATGATGGGGCTCATGCAGTGGATAAACCAAAGTTACCATATATCAATGAGTGAACACTACTAATGCCACTACCATCGCCGGCTCCATAGAGCGTCGTTACGTCATCCAAAACCCCACCCCAACGTGTTTTGTCACTCGTCACGTGACCTTCTCAAGGAGAACGTAATGGGATTGATCAATACTTCGCGGTCTGTGAAACTGTGATGTGGGGGGGGGGGGGGGGGGTCAGCTATGATGGGGCTCATGTAATGGATAAACCAATACTTCGCGGTCTGTGGAACTGTGATGTGGGGGGTCAGCTATGATGGGGCTCATGCAGTGGATAAACCAATACTTCGCGGTCTGTGGAACTGTGATGTGGGGGGTCAGCTATGATGGGGCTCATGCAGTGGATAAACCAAAGTTACTGTGTATCAATCAGTGAACACCGCTAATGTTGCTACCATCACCGGCTCCGTAGTAGAGCGTCGTGACGTCATCCAAAGCCCCACCCCAAACGTGTTTTGTCACTCGTCACATGACCTTCTCAAGGAGAACGTAATGGGATTGATCAATACTTCGCGGTCTGTGAAACTGTGATGTGGGGGGGGGTCAGCTATGATGGGGCTCATGCAGTGGATAAACCAAAGTTACCGTGTATCAATCAGTGAACACTACTAATGCCGCTACCATCACCGGCTCCGCAGAGCGTCGTGACGTCATCCAAAGCCCCGACATGGGGATCATGGGGCCCCTGTGTCCTTGCCCAAACTCAAAAAAGCCTATGAAAAAGGTACCAGGGACATCTCATGGGGCCCCCTACTGACCCCGGGCCCTCGGGCAGTGCCTGAGTTTACAAATGGTCAGTCCGCCCCTGCTAGGGACACATTCAAAATGATCCGTGGTAAAAACGCATATACGGTTTTATCGCAATTTTACCTGCGTTGTTTTTCACAGGACATGCAATTCAAAAACCGCATCAAAAATGCAACACAGGTGTGTTTTTGGTGTGTATTTGCTTCATTTTCAATGCATTTCCAAACTGATCAAATATGCCTCGAAAATGCGGCAAGCAGGATTTTTTACGCCGCAATGGACCAGTGTGAAGATATACATAGGGAAGCATTTTTCTTCAGGCTTTTAAAAACTCCTTAGTGTGAAAGCAGCCCAAAGCTTGCAGGCGGCTGACCGCTCATGTCATAAATCTCCTCTGACCATGTTGATCTAACCTCCGCCAGACACCGTCCATTACAAACAAAACAATGGCAGTCGCCTTACAACAAAAGCACTTACAGAGCGACCCGGAGCAGAAGCCCCGAGGTAGGAGGAAGGTTATTCCCGGAGATGTGGTGGAGCACAATCTTCTGACAGAGGAGAGCGCAGTGTGGTCAGCCGCTCTCGGATCGCCCGTTCATGTACAGTAATCTGATCTAGATTGCACATTAATGACCGGCACTCCAACCAACTGCCTTCCCTGTCCACCAGCTGCTGCTGCCGCTGCGGAGAGCCGTGTGAGTGACACGTAGAGCCGCTGCTTCCATATCTGGAGGGGAGGGAGAGCCAGCAGTGACACCGTGTCACCGTCATTTTGGACAAATTATAGTGGGGCACTATAAATACCGACTAGATGAAATCACATCTCTCTGTAGAGGCGGACAGGTATCATTGCCTTGTGTACACAACCTTCACACTGGGCTGTGCTTAACCCCTTCCAGTCCGGACGCTCTCACCCCCCTTCCAGTCCGGACGCTCTCACCCCCCTTCCAGTCCGGACGCTCTCACCCCCCTTCCAGTCCGGACGCTCTCACCCCCCTTCCAGTCCGGACGCTCTCACCTCCTTCCAGTCCGCACACTTTCACCCCCTTCCAGTCCAGACACCCCCCCCCCCCCCCCCCCCCCTCCCTCCAGTCCAGGCCAATTTTCAGCTTTCAGCGCTATCACACTTTGAATGACAATTGCGCGGTCATGCAACACTGTACCCATATGAATTTTTTAGCATTTTTTTGAGACAGATAAAACTTTATTTTGGTGGTATTTATTCACCCCTGGGATGTATTCCATTATCTTTTTAGTAAAAATAAATAAGTAAATAACACAAATTAGTTTATAACCAAAAATTATAATTTTTTAAACTTTTTTTTTATTTTAATTTTATTTTTTTTAGATTATTTTTTTTTTTTTTACATACTGTCACCCTAGCAGTACAATGTCACCATGGTGACACTGTACTATTTGTGGGGGGTGATGAAGATTTTTTTTTTTTTTTTTTTTACACAGGTTGCTTTTACACCCTTACAAGCAATCATTTCTCCTTCTCTCTGGCTGCATTCCTGCAGCCATTGAGAACTACTGTGTGAGCTGTGATTGGTCACAGCTTGTCACATGGTACAAGGCTGTTGTGAATAGCCCTGTACCTTATGACCTCTGTAATCATTCACAGATTTCACACGTAGTAAGCAATGATGTCAGAAGTGACATCTTGCTTACTACTCTGCATGTGATCACGGATTGGCCGATCAGTGATCACATGATCAGGACCTTGCACAGAAGTCCCGTACGACGATCGGTGTTCCACTGTGTCCTGAGGACACAGCGGGCACCGGATCGCAGTGCTTCGAGCTCCCAGGGAGTGCGTACAAGCAGGAGACCGTTTATAAATGGCCCCCCCCCGATTCTGCACTGCTACCATCCAGACGTTTATATACAACTTCTTCCCACTGACCACCAATGTAAGGAGCGTTCTTCCCACTGACCACCAATGTAAGGAGCGTTCTTCCCACTGACCACCAATGTAAGGAGCGTTCTTCCCACTGACCACCAATGTAAGGAGCGTTCTTCCCACTGACCACCAATGTAAGGAGCGTTCTTCCCACTGACCACCAATGTAAGGAGCGTTCTTCCCACTGACCACCAATGTAAGGAGCGTTCTTCCCACTGATCACCAATGTAAGGGGCATTCTTCCCACTGACCACCAATGTAAGGGGCATTCTTCCCACTGACCACCAATGTGAGGGACATTCTTCCCACTGATCACCAATGTAAGGAGCATTCTTCCCACTGATCACCAATGTGAGGGACATTCTTCCCACTGATCACCAATGTGAGGGCATTCTTCCCACTGATCACCAATGTAAGGGGCATTCTTCCCACTGACCACCAATGTAAGGGGCATTCTTCCCACTGACCACCAATGTAAGGGGCATTCTTCCCACTGACCACCAATGTGAGGGACATTCTTCCCACTGATCACCAATGTAAGGAGCATTCTTCCCACTGCCCACCAATGTAAGGGACATTCTTCCCACTGCCCACCAATGTAAGGGACATTCTTCCCAATGACCACCAATGTAAGGGACATTCTTCCCACTGATCACCAATGTAAGGGAGCATTCTTCCCACTGATCACCAATGTAAGGGACATTCTTCCCACTGACCTCCAATGTAAGGCGCATTCTTCCCACTGACCACCAATGCAAGGACAGGTCCGCTCCCCTCCCCTTCTTGTCCTGACCCGGAAGTGACGTTATGATGTCACTTCCTGTCCCTGTTGAGAGATTCCCAAGCCGGGAAAGAATGTAATGTGGTGCGTTGTGCACAGCATTACATTCAGTGGAGTACAGGGGAGACATTGGGGGTCTTTTAGACCCTGGATGCCTCAATAAAGAGAACCTGTCACCAAAAAATCATCACATAGGGGACTTTGTCCCCTATGATGGAAAAAAAAAACAAAAAGTTTTTTTTTTTTTAATTGTACGCACGTACAAATGTAAAAGCACACGCTGGGGC